ATCTGCAGCCCACCCCAACCCAACAACCAGGGGGTGAGTAAAAAGACAGGGTATTTTTCACTGGATCGTACCACCCGATGCAACCTGCCCAATGGCCAAAAACATTCAATAAAAGATCAAAAAAAGGAGAAATGTCAAGAGAACTGAAAAGAGGGACCGATATCTGGAGACGATGGGAGGCATAGCCGGTGCAATCACCAAGACTCTGCAACCCATCCAGAAGGGGTGAATAACATAAGACAAAAAGACAAGCCCTTGCCTCCATTGTTTGTGAAATCGGGAAAGACGAAGTGAGAAAAGGGAGAAAACATAGCCAGCTAGCAATACAAAGTGGTAAAGAAGAAGGGGATTAAAGGGGATAGAAGGGTCATTGGGGGTGAAGGAGACATGCTTGGACACAAGGGGTTAATCCAAAACAATCACAAGAGCTGAAACCAAAAAAAGGAGAAGAGAAAAAAGAAAATGGGGTTAGAAGAGAATGTCGAAGAGTCAGAAAGAGAAGGGAAAAAATCGAGATATTAAGACCAATACAAGAAACGAAGTCAGATGCAGAGATGGCGTCACGATCAAAATAAACTATATGTAAAAAAAGATAAAAAAAAAAGGAGAAGAAAAAAAAGAAGAAAAAGAAGAAATAAAAGAAGGGAGAAATGCCATTAGAGTTCCCCAAGGGTAATGAGTCGAATTATGCATCTTCGGAGAAGAAGCGTGGCGAGGAATGCGCTTATTTGGCGCCAATTTCCTCTTCAGCCCAGCCAGGCAGCGAGTTCTCGTTCTGGATGGCAAGACCGAAACCAGAATGGTTGATTCCGCCCAGGGCGGACGAGAAGCTGGAAAAGCTGGCCTGGGGCTGGTGGGTAGTGCCGGTACGGATGTGACCACTCTGTCCAGAGACAGGTCCAAATGGCTCCTGTGAGAAAGACGGCAGGCTCACAGCACGCGAGTGCGACGCACGAGGCACACTCAGGCTGCTAGTGCTTGCTGTGGCATGATGGCCTGGACCAGAGCCAGAGCCAACGCTCAGGTAACCGTTGCCCGAAGGCTTGTGTTGATGGTGCTGGTGCTGATGTTGGTGCTGGTGCTGGTGCTGATGCATCGGCGCCTCCATACTTCCGTTGGAGAGATCGCCGTTGCTAGAGCTGTTGTACAGGGATTGCTGCGGCACCTGGGACTGAGCCTGCAGGCTGGCCAGAGCCATTGGGTCACGTAGGCCGTTCTCCTGGTCCTGAGATTGCTGGGACATTTGGTTCAGGTACATAGTCAGGGGGTTGTTCGAACCCACATTCAGCACACCGGAGGGAGAGGACACGTTCTGTAATGGGTGACGCTGTTGTCCATTCTGCGAACCGTTGGAGCCCGAGGCGGGTGAGAGTGCCGGGCGAGTTGGACTCGACTGGGAGCCAGACTGGCTAAGAGGCTGCTGGAAGCCATTGATGGCGGGTGAAGGAGACTGGGGCCCCTCCAATCCCTGTCCGTTACGGCCCTGGGAGTTGGAGTTGTTGCCAGCCTGGCGCGGAGGGTTACCGCAACGATCTTTGCCAAAGTTGATCTTGAAGCGGCGGTAATCCTCGCGGTTACGCATACCCTCGATCGCCTTAATAGCGTTGGCGATGTTGGTGAAGTTGACAAATGCGCAGCTTTTTTCACGCAGAGTGTTCACCAATTCGATCTCTCCGTATTCGGAGAAGTCCTGACGCAGACGTTCCTCAGTCCAAGCTTCATCCAAGTTTCCAATATAAACATTTCGAGATGCGCCGCCACTCACTGCGAGTGCAATGGCTGGCGGGAGAGGTCCGGAATGCTTGCCCCATCCGATCTTCAATCGTCGGTTGTGGATCATCAGGCCCTGGAGGTTGCTCAGGGCGTAGAAGGAGGCGGCCGAGGTCGGGTCGATGAAGGTAACGAAGCAGATGTGCTTGTCGGGGATGTAACGGATGTGGTGAAGAAGACCCCCACGCACGACGTTGCAGATTTCCTCGATGGTGGTCTCGGGGTGGATGTTTCCAAGGTAAATAGTCCGGTTGCCCAGGTTGTTGACGCCACCAGCCGTGGTCGCAACGGCGGCCGCAGCCACGGATTGCTGGGCCAGCGCGTTCGAAATCAAATCGCGATCGGCCGAGTTCAGAACATGCGCATAGCCCGGCGCAATACCGAGGAACTGCGCGGCGTTCTGCTGCTGGGTCTTGGACACGTAGGCACATCGATCCTTACCGTAGAAGACGCGCTTAGGAGCCTGCCATTGGGCTTCCTGGGGGAGCTGTGTGACGGCCTTCATGGCATTACTGATCGAGAGGAAGTGGACGAAGCCAATGGCCTTTTCCTTCACGATCTTGACGGTGTCAATGGCACCAAACTTGCCTAGCTCCTCGCGCAGGTTGTCCTCGGTCGTTTCCTCGGGAAGGTTGCCTAGGTAAACATTACGCGACGCACCGGACTGCTGAACCGCCAGGGCGACGGAGGTCGGTACTTGAGAGGGCTTACCCCAGCCGACCTTGATGTCATTCCCCTTGATGGCCAGCTTTTTCAAGATGGCATCGGAGTGGAAGTGGGTTGCAGAGCTGCTGTCCAAGAAAGAGATGAAAGCGCAGTTCTTATCGGGGAGCAGGCGCACCGACTCGATCTGGCCGCTGCGCACATGGTTGAGGATTTCCTCCGCGCTGGTCTCCGCCGGGATGTTTCCCAAGTAGACTGTGCGACTGGTCCCGGACAGCATTCCAGGTGACACTGAGGCCCCGGGGCTGCCCAGGGCCGCGTTGCCGAGGCCGCCCATTCCATTGATTGGAGACTGGGGTCCCCCCCAGCAAGTGCGACGCGCCCAGTCCATCCGTCGAGATCATTCCGGGGTACATTCCGGGGTTCTGCATACCCTGGGTCGGGCTGCCGAGCTGGTGGTGGTTCTGGTGGTTCTGCGCGAGTCCATTGGCATTGCCCTGGGGAAAGCCACCAAAGTTGGCAAACTGGGGAGAGGCAAAGGTCGAGGGGGTTCCCGGTTGGAAGGGACTTCCCACAAGCAACTGGGAGGGCAGCAGGGGAGTATAGTTCATATCGTAACCGGAGGACATATCGGCGGTTTGGCCGACAGCAGCGGTGTTTATAGCCGGGATATTGGCGCGACGAGCGTTGCGGTTGGAGAAGCCTTGGTTGTGATGGTTGGAGTGATACGCGCCGTGGGAGAAGCCGGTGTCGCCGTTCAAGGAGTATTTGGAGCCAGGGGGGATCAGACGCGAACTGTTGATGCTAGAGGCATCCGAGGTTTGCATGGCGAGGTGAATCTCTCACGCTCAGGGGGAGAGGGAGGGAGGAGTCGGAATCGTCCCAAGATGGGAGAAACCAATCCAGGGGTGAAAATGAATATTTAACGAGCGTCGTCCAGGGGACTTGGCCGGGATGCAATAAATATCAAATCACCATTCAGGGGGACCAACTCTTGTTCTCTCGTTCTCTCTGTTTTTCTCCGCAAACACGACCGGAGTGGAAAAGGGAAGGGGTCCAAGTCAGAGGAAAGCCACGGACTGGAGAGGTGTCTGGAGGAAGACCGGAAGTTAATTGGAATGTGTTTCAAAAGGGCGCGAGAGCACGCGAGAGAGAAGGACTTGAAATATGAAAGAAGGGAGAGGGGGATGGAGTGGGGGAGGGACGCACTTTTTTTTGAGTACTCCGTAGAGCGAAGTCAGATATATACGGGGGGTTCCCTGCAAGAGAGAGTGCGGAGCCGAAGAAGAAAAAAGACTATGCAGGGCAAGGAGAAGACATTAGCTGAAACAGGCTAGGTGGAAGAGAGTTGGACCGAACGGTACGAGACTAAGGCTGAAGAAAAGGGGGAGTGGAGTGGAGGTGGTGGTGGTGGATTGGATCAATGGTGGCATTGACATTGGCATTGGCATGGGTAAGGGGACAACATACAGAGAGTGACAAGGGTCGGAAGATCAGAGAGAGAAGAAAGGAAAATGAGAAGAGAAGAGAGAAGAGAAAAGAAAAGAGGAGGTGAGGAGGATGAAAGAATGAAAGTGCAAGGGCGGCAATGGAGATGGGGAGAAAGGGGGAACCGTCAACAGATCACGTAAGAGCCACTGGAGAGTATGGAGTATGGAGTATGGAGTATATAGTATATAGTATATAGTATATAGTATATTAGTATATACTTGAGTAATGATTATTATAGCATATAATATATACTCTACTATACTACCACGTATACTCCTACCTATGTATACTCAAGTGACCCGTGGTCCGTAAACATGCGAACACTTGGGGTAAAGTCAGATGACAGGCACAGTATATAGTGGTAGTAGTATAGTGAGTATACTTTATAGAGTAATACTACCAGTACTGTAATATTGACTAAATAATCTTGTTCTAACTAATACTAATATCCTAAAGTACAAGTCCTTCCCAGGTAACTACTACTCTGAACTTGACGCTGACATCCAACTTCAATACTGTAAGTATTCAGGTACGGATGCTGGTAGTATACTATGGGCTGATATACATCCGGGGTCAACACCCGATAACTTTTAACAGCATAGTCAATTCAAGGTACAACTTGAACCAAGTACCTCCTGTAGTATTCCAACTACTCTAACCTTTCAGTATTCTCTAGTACTACTACTATACTACTGTAGTCACTACTAATAACTACTAGTTAGTTAGTTAGTAGTTAGTTAGTTATACTAGATCTCTGCCTCAGGCATCGCGGGGATCCCGCATCGCGGAAATTTACCCCTCCACACCAATTCAACTTCTCCTTCTAGACTCAAGTTCAACTGCTCCCCTCAATTCGCCCCAGAGGACACCAAGGTATGTCCTCCCTCAATTGCTCCTCCTCATTGGCCTGTACTACTTCCTGCAATGCTATCTTTACTGCTTATCTCCCCCAAATCACCCCCTACCTCCCACTTCCAATGACTCACATCCGACATGCACTAACTATTGAAATTGCGCCTGCAGCTCCTCCCTTCCCACTCTCTTCTCTCCTCACCCTCCACTCCTCCCTCTACACAATGGCGCCCTCCATCTACATCGACGAGGACGTCGGTCGCGACGATGCGACCGCCACCGGCACCGAGTCCACCCCATACAAGACCCTCATCCACGCCTTTGTGCACCACGATCCCACCACCGAGGGAATCCAATATTTGACCCGCAAGTCGCAGACTGACGCTGCCGGCGAAGATGTCGACCCGGCCGCCAAGCTGGAGTGGAAGCCCGCCACCAAATCCGCCACCAAGAAGGCCACCAACCTGTTGGACCAGCGCAAGAAAAAGGCCGCCAAGGAGCACGAACTCGCCATCCGCGAGAAGGCCGAGTCTGACAAGCGCCAGCAGGTCCTGGAGGATGCTAAGAAGATCATCATCAAGGAGGACACCTCTCTGCCTGCCCCCGTCCGCATTCGCCTCGACGTCACCGACCCCGCCGTCGTGAAGCTGCGCAGCACCGACTCCGATGTCCCTGGTACCCGGGTCCGCGTCCTGGGTCGTGTGCACCGTATGCGTGCGCAAAAGGGAGTCGTCTTCATTACCCTGACCGATGGCTACGGATACATGCAGTGCATTCTGACCGGCGATATGGTCAAGACCTACGATATCATGACCCTCACCCTGGAGACCTCCATGTCCATCCACGGTGAGATGCGCTCCGTCCCCGCCGGTGCCCACGCCCCCAACGACCGCGAGCTGCACGCCGACTTCTTCACCATCATCGGCCGCGCAGCCGGTGACAAGGAGGCAATCACCACCCGCGTGGCCAAGGATGCCGACCCCCAGACCCTCCTCGACAACCGCCACCTCGTCCTGCGCGGCGAGACCTCCTCCGCCGTGATGAAGGTTCGCGCCGCTACTCTTCGGGCCTTCCGCAAGGCCTTTGAACAGAACCGCCTGCTGGAGGTGACTCCCCCAGCCATGGTCCAGACACAGGTTGAGGGCGGCAGCACGCTCTTCGGCTTCGACTACTACGGCCAGAACGCCTACCTGACCCAGTCGTCGCAGCTATACCTGGAAACCTGTCTCCCATCCCTGGGCGACGTCTTCTGCGTGTGCCCATCCTTCCGCGCTGAGAAGTCCCTGACCCGCCGCCATCTGTCGGAATACACTCACATCGAAGCCGAGCTGGACTTCATCACCTTCAACGACCTGCTGGCTCACGTCGAGGAAGTCATTTGCCGCGTCATCGACAACATCTTCGTCGAGCCCGAGATCGCCGCCCTCATTCAAAAGATGAACCCTGATTTCAAGAAGCCCAGCCGTCCCTTCCGTCGCATGAAGTACGCTGATGCTATCGAGTGGCTTGTTGAGCACGAGATCCCCAACGAAGAAGGTGAACCGCACAAGTTCGGCGATGATATCGCCGAGGCTGCCGAGCGCAGGATGACTGATATCATCAACACCCCCATCTTCCTTACCCACTTCCCCGCTGAGATCAAGGCCTTCTATATGAAGAAGGATGCTGAGGACCTCCGCGTCACTGAGAGTGTCGATGTCCTTATGCCCGGTGTTGGTGAGATCGTAGGTGGTTCTATGCGTATGGATGATTGGGATGAGTTGATGACTGCTTATAAGCGCGAGGGCATGGATCCCAGCCCTTACTACTGGTACACTGACCAGCGCAAGTGAGTTTTCCCTCCCCCGGAACAGGACCTTTATCTTCAGTTTTGTTGCTCTCCTTCTTTCGTGCTTTTACTAATCTATCTTTCCCCTAGGTACGGTACCTCCCCCCCACGGTGGCTACGGTCTCGGTCTGGAGCGATTCCTCGCCTGGTTGTGTGCCCGCTACACGGTCCGTGATTGCTCGCTGTACCCCCGTTTCACCGGCCGTTGCACCCCATAGATGGGATGTATATCCCTTTCCTTGCTTGGCTTGTTTTTAAGCGAGTTGCAAGTTGGTTGGCGGTTTTGAAGAAAAAAAAAATTAGTATGAATGTTTGTGATGATGGTTGCATGGCTATATGAATGAGTGAATTGAATGGATTGCATGGAATGCAGATATGTTTGAGTTTCTGGGATTTTCTTATCAAAGTACTAGTAGATCCATGAATGAGAGTTTTCTTTTGATTGTTCCCTGGGCGCACTTTATGACTACTAGTAGTGTTTACTGTCTGATTTACGTTTTCCTCAGCCCCGCTGGTCAAGTTGATTGTGTCTTTCGGTTAAGGTCTTACTCTAAGGGGGACTCGAACCTTGGAATACAAGTATTGTAGTGAGTGTCGGAAATCACTCGTTCAAGCGTACCTTCCACTTACTATTCGTCGAGCCCTAAGCTTGTCATCAATGCGGTAAGATTTGCGTCCGCTCTTCCGAGAGTGACCACTGTATCCCCGCTCTAAGCCTACAGTCCAGCCCTCGAGATATAATTAGTCAAATGAGGTGTGCCATGCCACGGGATTTGAAGCAAGTTTGGCGCATTCCGATCTTGGGACTGTCGCAAGGTTCTTGCTTGTATTACTGCGGACTGGACCCGTGTCGTCCGCCCTGAGTATACTAGTATGATGGCTTCGCTGGGTGTAGTCTTGGCTTCGAGAGACTGGTCGTGCTTGCTCTAGGTGTTTTGTGTGTCTTGTCATTCTGGACTGAGGCTTGCAGGGCTCGTAATCAAGATTGATAGCTCGGTCTGCTGGGGATGTTTGTACTGGGTCTCAGGGACATGGGAGAAGGGGATACGGAGTGTTGTTGTTTTCGAAATCGTAGCGTGTGGCGTGTTCAATGGCGTCCGTGTGAAGGGATTGTTGATTGACACGGTTCTTGTGTCTCGTTTGTCTCACCTCGGTGCTGATGACTTTGTCCTGAAATCGTGAGTCTGGCTAATTCGTCACGTAGACGATTAGCTCTATCAGTACGGCCGCAGCTGCAACTGTTGAATTGACCTCTGCTGCCCTGGGTGATAGAAGGTCTTTCAAGGCCCCCAACTCACCGGTGTCACGGTCTGAATGCTCGTGGGTTCAACGGCCGTGGTTTGTGTTTGAATTGATCTCCTGAACTGACCTGGCAGCTGGGTGAGATGGAATTGCGTAAACAGCTGGTTGTGCGTGCTGGGCTTGATTGGAACTCGGTTGTGTTGGTGATGGGTGGTTGTGCTGAGAACGTTGGACAAGGCTTGGTCGTGATGAGTGCTGGAGGTGAAGTTGTTGACGTTGATGGCTGTTGTATGCCACGCGACTAGGGATTCTGTGGCAAGAGTAGTCAGTAGTCACCGAGAGGTGATTCCAAGGGAATTGTGATGTCGATGCTGGGAGAGGAGTCTGCAGGGACAGAGAGGGCTGAGGGTCTCTGGTTCTGGCTAGGGCCTGACTGAACACGGGAAGAAGGAGAAAGAAGAAAGAGACTAAGGTGTCGAGGCTGTCTCCGCCATCTTCATCTTCTCTGCTGCACTCCTCTCCACTCGACCTCGTCACCCATCTTCAGGCTGTTCCTGATGGAATGAACTTGAAACCAGATGGACTGGCAAAAGCAGTCCCGTCCCACCCTTTCCTCCTCCGCCGTATAGGGGGGTCCCAAGGACGGAATGTAGAACTGGGTGCTCCACTGTCTCTGAAGCCATTGACGGATGGCCGGAGATAGAATCCGCGAAACCCCATTCGGTGTACCTCCTCGCCTGGATCCCGGGGGGAGTTTGCAGGACTATTATCTTTGTTCGTTTTGTCTTGACTCGGTTGACTCTTGTCTTTTTAATCTTGTCGAAATATCAGAGAATGTCCCGATGGCCCAGCTGATCAGCCAAACTGGCTTATATTGATGCCCTGGACCGCGAGAAAGAGAAAGAGACAGAAAGATTGAGAGGGACCGAAAGAGTCAGTCGATAGATTCTGGTTTCTTTTTCCATCTACGTCCACATTGGCCATTGGCCCCTTCTTCATGAGGACCTTTCATCTGGGTCTGCCGTGGGGACCTGGGGGTTTGCTCTTTATTATGGTTTATCATTAACGCCCATTCTTCGAAACCATGTCCTAGTGTCGCAAGGCTAGAAGTTCATGTCAGTTCTCGACCAGACTTGACCCGGCACGCTGGTTGATTTTTTGTTTCGTCTGGTTCACTTCGTCATCGCCTCTCGTCTTGATTCTTATTACCATGGCTAGTCACGTCACGCCGCATCTCATAGGTGTTATGCGCGGGTTAGAACCAAAGAACAGTGGCATTGATATCAGGGGCGAATTCTCTCCACCTGGACCTTTTTCTCTCACAGCAAACACAAACACCCCACAGCAAAAACATCCCGTCTCTGCCGAATGTCTTTTTCATCTTCCCCCTTCTCTATTGAGTTTTCCGAGGAAATAGGTGGGCCACGACAAAAAATATGATTCCTGGACGGCTTATGAGAGGATTTTTGCTCCTGTTTTTTCAGCAAAATTACCAAAATTACTGCGACCCTTGGAGCCAATGATGACGTTGGGCCTGCTGAAAGCCCAGCCACCACGCCATGTTATCCACGGCTAGGATGAGGATGAGATACAGTTACCAAGGTAAAGTATGGATTATTCTTAATGCTGAGAAACAACAAAGAACATGAAACTATCTTCTCTGCCAGCCAATCTTCCTCCCGCAAGAGATGCCATGAAAGCATTAGCCAATTCATTTCACACCTCCGATCGGTGCCAACCCCGCCTCATTCTAATGAAGCGTATTGTGACGATAGGCAGAATCGTGCCTTTGGGACCCTGCCATGTCTGGCACGTTCTCGATCGTCTGGTCTCGTCTCTTCTCTTCTCTTCTCTTCGACTTTCTAGGGAATGGCGTTTCGGGGACGGGATACAGGATCGGAGATGCAAGTTTCGAATGGGCGTGCGTGGCGCGACTGGTCTACCCACGGCTGAGGAAGCGAGGGCTGCGCTGCAAGACTTCCTCGAGGAGTTGGCTGATCTGGTCGTGTGAGGCTCCGGCGCGGATCGCTGCGATGACGCGTGAGAAAGATGGGTGTTCTGCGTGGCGGATGATTTCTAGCAGATTGTCCAGCATTGCGGAGTAGAAAGCCGCGTCTTGGATGCCTCCGCCGCTGTTCCAAGGTCAGCGGGATATCGAGGCCGTTTTACGTCGGCGACCATCCGCAGCATTGGTCTGCTTCCTTCCTCCGGATGGTGGGAAGAGAAACTTGCAAGGAGCGGGCCTGAGGTCGATGGCGTACGATGACGATGATACTTACCTAGAGCTACTCTGCTGCGAGCCTTGTTGGGGCCCCCTACCTGGGTTCGACGAGCCCTGAGACGCCATGCTGTCAGATGGACCAAGGCAGAGGAGTACACACGTTGAAAGGATGGCCTTAGAGAGAAAGGCCGATGAGATTTGTACCACACTGGATGAGCGAGGCAAAGAAGCGCTAGGGTGGTGATTCTCTGCTGGATCCGGATTACTGGAGCAAGTCTGTCAGTATGAAAACGCCCGGTATCACCGGTGACGAGAAGGAAATGAAGGTAAAGGAAAGATGCAAAGGAACAGAGAACAATGTAGGGACGTCTCAGGGTCGCCCTGGTATTGAACCGCCCAAGATGTGGTGCTGGTGGAGATGGGGAGATGGTTTCGGGGTAAAGGATAGATAGACTAGAAGCGGTCGGTCATATTACTAGCAAGCGGATAGCTCTAACGGGTAGATGCTGTTCGTTGTTTGGATTCGAGACGCGGGGATGGTGGGTGAAGTGGAAGAAGAGAAAGGTGGGACACTTGTGAAGTCTGCATTTTGCACTCTTAAGACTATGTAGTCGGCCTTGAAAACACGAAGCCTTCGTTGTCGTCGCGATACCGATTCGCTCTGCGGTAAAATGGCCCGACAAATGGAAGAAGGTCGATCCACCTTCTTTCTCCAATCGACCGTTTCTGGAACCCGTAACATTTGTTCGGCAATTTGTTGGGGCATCTTTTCTTTGATATGCCGTTGTTTTCCCACTGTTCGTAGCTTTGCGATCGCCTACGGAAAAAAGTACCAGCCAATACCGTCCAATCGCGGAGACACATCAACCATATTTCCTCGGGGCCTTGAAGCATAATGATTGATTCGCCTCTTAGCCTTAGCCTTTTGCCTTTTGACATGGAGGTTTGCTGCAGTGGTTGCATTCATTCGCTGGCTTTGGCTTTCCATAGAGACAATGGGATACGTAGATGGGGAGGCGATGGTGTTGTTTGCTGATGTGGCCCGAGATCTCGGTTGGCTGGTCAAGTCAAGGTGTTGTTGCTGACTGAGGTCGGGTACTTTCTCGACCAACATTGTTTCTCTTCTCGTCTCACATCAGGAATGACGGGAGAGTTGACGTCGGTGGGGATCATCCTCATTGTTCTGTTCCCCATGATGTCCATGATCTGGTATTTCTGTCGCCGCAGATGAGGTGTTGAGTTGCCTTATTGGCCCGAGTTCTTGATGTTTGTCTTGTATCCAGGGACGGGACGACTCATGCGAAGCCTCAATTTTCCACGAGAAGATTCTTTTGATGGCATTTATCCACGAAGTGCAATATAATAGTGGAAATCGCGCACGGATTCGACTGGACGCGTGGAAAGTGCTGTTGAGTTGAGCTCCAATCCTTTGGATCTCTTGGTTCATTTGGGGCAACTGGCAACGCCGTGTCTCCTTTCTCATTTACAATCAAGTGGCCGAGAAGAGAAGAGGTTGTCGACAAGGAGAGATAGGAGGATGGAGAAGGGAGGAAGTCCCCAAGTTTGAGGTCACCTGTCGCTGGATGTCACTGACTGTCACTGACCTTGCCCAAATACTTCATCGTGCCTTCCTCGCGTTCTGTTAACCTCTTCACCCGCTCCTTCCTTCAGCACCAATTCAAACCGAATCCCATCGACTTCAAAGTTCTCCTTCTTTCGCTCCTTCATCCTTCATCCTCCATCCATCGCTTTTCCTCCTTCATCCGCCATCCGCCATTTGCCAGTCTTCATACATTCTCTTCTATCTGTCCTACCACATCGCCAGTCTCTTCAGCAAGGATCATCCTCATCCACCACGGCCTCCATCACTCTCCCTACCCTCACGAATCCATCAAATCCAGCAAACAATGCTCGATCAAATGACTCTGATGCATTATCTTGACTGGCATCGGAGATGGATGCCACAATTGTCACCGCCAGGGATACCCAGAAAAGGCTTCTGGTTACGATAAATTTCGTCCCATCACACACCCAAGGCACACCCAAGGCGCCACCAACTAGATGGACACCCAGAAGTGGCACTATTGTAACATCAATGTGGATTTCCTCGATGCTAGCCAACGGGCCATTCCTGGGAATAATGAGCTGGACACGCTTCACTCAGACAGAGTACTGGAACACCACGAGGATATGGAGATGGGCTGATGGATTGATGGGTTTGTGTATGTATGTGTGGTCAACAGAGATACACGTCAGTTGCCAGACAACTGCACGAGGTGTTTTCTAAGGCCATTCATTCATGGTCCATCACCTTGAGATCCAAGGGTAAACGAGAAGCACCAGAGCCTGGCAAAACAGTTCGCCACGGGGCTTGAGCCTTTGCATTGCAGTGTCCATCACATAATAGCCATGGTTGATATGATCCATGGGGATATCAGAGCATCCTGGGATGAATGACAATCCAATTGTCCTGATTAAACCCATTCGCCCGCTGATCCATCCCGTTCTTGAGTATCCCGGCCCATGATCTTGATCAAGTATCAACCTCCAATATATGGTCTTTGCCCAATGACAGTGCATTTTATTCAAAATAGCCACGCAGCCGACGGGAGCAGAAGAGATCAGGGCGAACAAGACCTCTGAAGCTCTGATCAACTTTGTGACTATCTGAATAATCGATGAGCAACGTCAGTTCCAAATAGCGTGGCTAGCTATGTGGCAACCCATGGGTCCCATTGTGAATATGATGCAGTGGGTCAGGTTCGCTGTGTCGACCGGCGAGGTTGTCTGTTTCTCATCTTCGAATGGTCTGAGTTCATCGAGCTTTGGCTTTATACGACGTAGATGATCTTCAAAGGCATTGTGTCATTGTCACTTGCGATGTGGCCATCTCAGTGATAACTCCGCCACGCGATTGCGGTAGTGTCCGGTGGCGACTTTGATCCTGGCCAGTGAGCTGCTATGTACTAGCACCCGCAGGGGATGTTTCTCATTGGCTTTTCGAAAGAAGTCTCCGCGGTCTTGATGGTTAATCGGCAGCACTAAGGATCTCTGCGTCGGGGGTATCGGTCGGCGTGCAACATTCGGAGATCGGGATGATGGACAACTATTGCCATCGAACTTTCGCAACTATCGTCGTCATTCTTACATCGCGGTCGGTCCTTCGGATGAACTGTTTTCATGTCAGCAGTATCAAGGTACAGCACTCGGTCGGGCAAGACCACCATCGCCATCGCCACGTCTTCATATCTCTGGGGGATCTGGCATAGGGACTGTGGCAAAGCATCTCATCAAGTTGTTGTTCAAGTGACATGAGGCTGCTAGTTAGAGGACATCTATCCTCATCATGGCGATGAAGATATTGATAGTGTGTTGATGTCAAGTCAGTAATGCGTGTTCCAAACGGTCCTGTTCACCCTCCAGGATTGCCTAGATCTGTTGTATCGACAAAACACGACGGCCATGGACGACCAGGTGATGCCAAGGGGGTAAGCGTGCTAGAAAATGAAGATGACAGCCATCAAATCTTCTCAGGGAAGGTTGCCGTGCCACCATTTCTCGCGGACCACGTCCTTGTCCTTCGGCATAGGAAGAGACAAGAGGCTATTCCCACAAGGAGCGAGGGATAGTAGGAAAACCTTTTCCCTGGCTCCCTGTGGCACCAATTGGGGGCTACCCACCTGGTGGAAAAAGATTCCCTGCGAAGTTATTGGGGCTCGGCTCCACCTGATGCCGCCATGTCAAAACAGAACATCAAGGTTACGTGCTCAGGAGAGGCCAGAGACTTTCCTCGCAAAGAGTCGGGAGTTGACTAGTCGATGAGAAAGAAAGCTGGCTTGATACCTGCTTTGGAGGGCCGTGTTTAGGACAATCCGCGTGGATGATAGTGACAGGCAACAGGAGGCAACAGGAGGGAACTCAAATCCATCACTTACGCGAGGCGAGTGACATTCCAGGAGGGATGGCAAACTTATCGAGACCAGCTTTGGATGAATGACATTGCCCGAGCTTGATGGTACCCTATGGGCAGATGCAAAGGGGCTATCGTGCGATGCGTGTACGGAGTGCAGAGTACGGAATCGGCGATTAATGGTGCGCCGTCTTAACACATCCTTACCTGCAGGAAGATCCATGGGGCTGATCCAGCCGAATCCAACCAACAACTGCCTGGCACCCATGCTTGGTGAGGCAGCTGAAGCTATGAGTCGCGGGCCAGGCCCGGCCACACGTCCTTGACCCTGATCAAGTGACTTCTAGTGCATACTACCAAAACTTACAACCCTGGAGGTAGTATGTATAGGTAAGTTACCGCAAGGTACCCTGAACCAAGGAGAACAATTCACATGTCAGATCATGCCAATAACTTAATACTAACATACTAACATTGAAACCTCAATAATTGACCAATACAAAAGGTGCCATCTCCTGCAGTCTTGGAACAATTTCCTTGGGGTGAATGGCTGACGTATTAAACGAGTAAGAGGCTTTTATCAGCAACCTCTCCAACCTATAGTAATCCTGGTTTGCCACATAATAACAGCTGATAGCGACTGATCAACAGGGCCGGTCCAGGGCTGAAATGTTACATGAAACCATGCTGTAATTTTCACTGCTTGACTAGTATAAAAAATAAGTTTCCTTTTGCACTAGCTTCAAGGTTTTATGCCTTGATTTTGGGGCGACACTTCCAGGGCGGCCGTTTCTGCCGCGCCCTGGTGTGGCTTTCCGTAGATGATACTGGCAGCGATGCACTGCATTCCTCAGAGCGGAATATTACTAGTAGCTTCAATTAATCTCAGTAATAGATTCGGGTTAACCTTTACATGAACTTGGTCCTTGTAATTAACTAGTCCGACCCCAGACCCTGGGCATCTAATGTAACTGCATTCAAGTTGCTGTAAACTTTTGAAATGAGATTAGTAAGCGAATCGCAGTACGAGTAAAGTTATTCAGATATTATATATCAGCCAAATATTATGGCGCAATTCCGAGTCCTCAAGAAACTCGCTTAACTAACTGAAGCAATACTGAAGACATATGTGTCTACTTCTCATATTGAACACGATTCAAAAGTATCCCAATCTCGCTGATATGAATTGAAATTTCATCTCCATCCCGGAGCATAACCTTGGGATTGATTACACCCGTACACAGTGTGTAGGAATAAGCACGGGCACATTAATTATCGTTTGCTAGCGTAGAATCTTCGTTTGATTGCAGGAAATTCGGTGCTGATTGAGGGTTTTATGATGAACAGACGGGTGGGCATGGTTGGATGGATTCCGCTTCATCATAAATCGAGAAGGTTGGCCTATAATTATCAACCGAAATATGACTTTCAAAACGAAAGGGGGGAATTGCCATAGACAGAACTACTAAGTAGCAAAAGCTTACTGGTGGACGTTCCACAGGAAAGAAGAGTCCAAGAAGCGCTTCGATTATCGGCGCGCCTCCCGGTTTGGTGCCACGCCGTGCGCTAGTGAACTTTGGGTGACAGATCTATAAACTAGGTTCCGATAATGATTCTGAAAAGTAGGCCAGGAGGGAAATACGGTCCCGAAAGTATGATTCTAAATGAGCATATCGAAGAGAAATACCAAGTGATGTCGAAGAATAGAAAAATATACAAATGAAGACAAATGTTTACTAGACCTTTTCCCAAAGAGAAAGCCAGAAAGGTCAACCTTAGACGTGGGCACGCTGCGCTTGTCTCACAATGTGTCGTCGACGCACAACTGGGACAATCGAGCTGGAGCTGGAGCCGCTGCTTGGCAAAGGGACAGTAACTGGCGAAGACGGAGGGGGAGGGGGGAGGGGGAGGAGCCGTGACAGATGATGGTGGCGGCATGGGGATTGATGATGGGGTAGAAAGGATAGATGACGAAGAAAGAGGAGTTGATGAATGAGAGACAGAGATCGAGGAAGATGGGGCCGTAGGAGTTGACGACGAACGGTGAGGAGTAGATGATGAGACTGGGATTGAAGAACTTGAATGAGGGTGATCCCAGGATGAGGGACGAGGAATAGTCGGTAGTGGTGATGGGAATGATGACGGGGGCGCAGAGGTCAAGTAATGAGGAGAAGACCTGGAGTAACTGGGCACCGAGTACGAAGGAGCACTGGAGAAAGATCCAGTGGGAAGACTGGGTCCAGCATTGAAGCCAGTGCAGAAGGTAGGAAGGGTATAGACATATGACTGGGAATGATTAGCGAAGAAACTTGAATATATTTCAACCCAGGAGAACTTACAGCGAGTGTTGCGCTTAGGAAAGGACTTTCGGTATTGTCCTTAATGGCGGCTTCTCCGATCAGGGCAGCGCCAACCGAAGGCAAAAGCTTGACAGCTTCATGCTTTCCCTTCTGATCCGGACAAGCATCAGCAGAATCTAGAATGGGTTAGTTGTAGTCTATTTTTCGCAATTTAATGCAGAAACTTACTGGCTGCGAGGGACACAGTTGCACCGCCAAATGGTTGGAGCTTGACGCCAACATCGAAGCCATGATCTGTTACGATAATTAGCATGGGAAGTACTAACATAGAGAACAGGGCATTATCTTACCAAGGGCTTCCAATGCAAGCTGAATTTTTGCAAACAGATCCAACTCTACAGATCCACTAAGGGCAGCATCGACAGTGAACTCTTTGGGAGTGAAGTGCGGCTCCCAGCCGCTTTGCGACACATCAGGGTTCAACAGGTCGATGGTCATTGATGCCGAGTCGGAAAGACTAAGAGTACCCCCAGTCGTAATTCCAGCACTGCCCTTGAGTGGTCCGATGGAGTAACCCCATCCGAACTCAAGCTCAGGGCCAAGATCCAATATTCCACCAGCAATGGAGATTCCATCAATAGGAATTGTTCCCAGGGGGTATGTCTTGCTGACTTTTCCCGGGAGTTTTGCAACAATACCGACACGAGGTTCAAATACAGCTTCAACGCCGTGAGGCGACAAAACAAGCTCGACGTCCTTGGGAATTCCCAACCAGGTGGAGATGTGGAAGCCAAATTCAAATTCTCCTTGGTACCACAGCCCGAACAGTCGTAGGACAGCTTGAGATCGCCATCACCCACCTGAATGTGGCTGAGGGGCAGATCATGGTTCACATCGAACGAGTAGGTATCGTCATAGTCGCGCTTGTTTGAGGCCGGGCGGCCTCCAACGAAGAGCTCGTATGAGTGAGAAACCTTCTTCCAGTCACTGGCGTGTCCAATTGCCTTGATTGTGTTGGCAGTGTCGTCAAATTCAACGTTGGTAATGACGAATGGCAGACGGTCCTCGTTCCACTCGCAGTGGCCCTGACCAGCGACAAGCACAAATGTTCTGTCATCCTCGTCGTTGACCCATTTCCACGCTTTGGCGCCATACCGGTAGGCCTTGTCATCTTCGAAATTCATGGTCAAGCTGTGAGGACTGCACTGGGTTGACTTCAACAAGGGGTAGAACTTCTCCAAGGAGATGATGTTCTCGTGTTTGCCTGGGTAGAAGGAGGTGAAGTTTCCAAGAGCATATCGGCTGTTTCCAGTAGATCCTGTTCTGCGCATTAGTAGGTTGTAAAATATAGGGAAGAACTCAACGTACCACCCCATAAGAATGTCTCAGAACTGAGGAGATCCAACATTGAGTAGTCATTATCTCGAGTTGTCTTGTGGCCTGCATTTTGAGGAAGGCCGAGGGGCTTTAAATTAACAGCTGATCCCAGAGCAGAGAAAAGACCGAAAGCCAGCCAAGAAAGGCGTTGAAAACTCATATCTGCTCTTATCTTGCCTAGAATGACCAGGGCTAAACAGAACGTCGAGTGTATGGATAATGAATATCAGCGAGTCTCCGCTGAAGCCTCCTCTTCTTGTATCAACGAACTGACACGGGGCGCTCGATATTGTTAAGGTTCGACTGGTCGATCCGCCAGAAAAGGCCCGCGAGATCCTACCATGTTGAGACCATAATGGCACGGAAATCCTTCGACACGAAAAAGTGCCCCGTTTCACCTCTAGTCAGTGGCGATCCCTGGCTGCGGTGCCGGTAACGATCTCCTTGTTCCTGCGCATGGCCCCCAAGGGTGGAGCAGCCTACAACCAACGAAACCATTCTGTGCCTGGGTGGCTGAGCTTAAGCTCTGGAACTGCATATTAAATGTTACATGGCGCGTTTCGTCGTAAGAGATACTCGAGGCGTGGTGGGCATCTCGTATTCGAGTGTTTATCCTAATTTAAAGCCGGAAGCGATTAGGGTTTGCGGCCCCCGGGGCCGCGCGCAATTCTATTCTTATCATGCTCAGGACGGAGAAATAAAACGACTGAAAGGCTTGAGAGGGCTTGGAAATATATAAAGTTTTCTTGGGTTGAATCTATACTCCGTAGATCTTATTAAGGTGGCTGCTTATGGTGGGGTAAGAGAGTGTAATCATTTTGGCAATCCATCCTAACCTTTCATTCCACCTCGTGTTCCAAAATATCATACGGGATACCCACTTCAGGAAGTGCAGATCACACCGATAGCCCCTCTGCATGACTATCATCGCTCACAAAAGCACTTCAAATGACATTAACTCTAAGTTTCAATTGGGATGTGATTCTGACGTAAATACTTAGAAAAGTAGACAGTCTTTATAATATATTTCCGTGTTTCACATGGCGTATCTCCACTCTTGTATTGGCTTAGTAGGTGAGTATGAGTTTGCTCAATGGTAAGAACTACCCTGTGGAGTAGTCATTCGTCCTGAGTTTTGACAATACTACTCAGTACCTGCCTGTGCAGTCGTCAAAGGCCTCCAACTGCAAATGTTCCAAGGTTGTCGACCTGATCATGGCGGTTGACCGTCAGCCGCAATCGCTTCGTGACATTATATTAAACCATACTACTTTTCTTGTTAACCCACTCCAATAGACTTTGCGTTATCTTGATCTGATGGGGTCAATCAAGGAAATGAATACTCCGTACCCCAGTCAGTCATTGTGGAGCGCAAAGTGAGATTTGACCATCTCCTGTAGTTCGGATTCTATCACGATGCTTCTTTGCGTACCACAAATACCCGTGGATATTCACCTCCAATTCCGCAAGGATTTCACTTTGAGCAGTTCCTAGGAAATAAAAAAAAATTAGCTTCTTTTCTACATTGTAACATAATCAATATTCATGGATTTCACTACATGCAATCGATCCACAGTATAGAGGCATCCTCTCTGGTCAATATAGTCGATGTCACTTGTTCTTAGCCAACGATACCCACCCCGTGGCACAGTTGTCTCTTCGGTTCCTTTCGTATTCTTTTAATATGCTTTTATAATGTGGGTCGGCCACCCAGATCTCTCCAACGTTCACGTCGGGGGAAGCAACGTGAATGAAGTCCCGATCATCGAGTGGTTCGATTCGCGCAGCACAATTGTGATTCAACAAGCCATAGATCGACCCTCGTCTTCATCGTCTGGAGCAATCCCAGTGGTCGATCAAGTTGTCTCTGTCATGTCCCCTGTTTGACTTGCACACCGGATCTGAGATATCGCTTTTCTTTGACCCGCCCTAGGTCAGGACTGAGCGGGACCGATCCGCTTAATGCTGTTTCAATGGCTCGTATGTTGCACTTTGATGGGTTTAGTTGCTTGGAAATGGTCGTCAGAATTGCGGGAACTGTCGCCATGAACGTATTGCGGTAGATATCGAGATAAAATAAATATTCCTGGACGTTGAAGCTTATCATGATAAAGACTTTTGCATCCAGAGCCGCATTGATGCACAAGTATGCTTATCCCTGTGTTCTTGAGTAAGTCTGTGCTCTCTATACACTTGTACTGAGCGCTGGTAGGCTGGTAGGCCACCAACTCCACTTTCCAAGGACCCGGGGCTAAAATTATGAGCTTCGAGAGCATACGCTTCTAATTGATACATTGTTCTTAAAATGATATGTAGACATAGGTAGTACTGGCGACATTAATATTGGAAGCAGAGTGTTAGTACTCCTTGAATTTCCAATCTTCAAGTTGGAACTTGCCTCGGTGAACTTGAAGCTTTCGGAGTCATTTTGGAATAAGCGGCTTGCTAAAGCGGCTCATTCAGATACTACTTGAACATATCCATATATAGAACTTCCTAGTCATGTTCAAGTTCAACTTGAACTTGAAGTTGTACTACTAGTAGCATTTAATCCGAGCTTTTACACGCCCTTACTACCAGTAGATCCGCTAGATCTCCGATAAAAATTGCAAATTTCTTTTGAATTGAATTTGGAGTCAATGTATTGACAGAACCGCTAAAAAACAAAAACACGATATCCACATGCAGCAGGGCATTCTCGTATGTCGAGGGACTGGATGTCATTTCCAAGTGCATGTCCAGGGGCGCCAACACCAGGTAGTCACTACATTACAAACGGCAAATGTGCATACAACAATATCAAACACACCCTAGCCATGGTTCAGGCTTACTTCAGTTGGGTCTTGAGAGACTCGATCTCAGCGGTCAGGGATTGCATCTGCTGAGCCTGGGCAGCAATCGTCTTGGTCTGTGCTGTGATCAAATTCTTAATCTCCTCGAGCTCCTTGTGCAAGGAGCCTGATCCGGCAACTGATTCGCTGGCGGGGGAGGAGGCGGGGGGTGTAGAGGTCTGGAGAAATTAGTAAATGAATGGAGCCACGTAAGATAGTGAAGAACTTACCACGACGCGGGGTTCGGGCTTGGGCTCTGGCTTGGGCTCGGGTTCCTTGGGCCGCAGAGGGCTGCTCACTCGGGGAGGTGTGACCTGAATGACAGGGGAGCGAGGGGTACGCTCAACGGGCTTGGGAACCTCCTCAAAGCTGGAGTCATCATCATCATCGTCGGCGGCGCTGGCCTCATCTTCCTTGTCATCGGAGAACTTGTTAACCATGGCGGCCATCGAAGCACCTTGATCCTTCATGGAGGGGCCGGGACGAGCGACGGGGGTGGGCTCAGAAACGGGCTCGCGGGCAGCCGGCAGCGAAGCGGGCTCACTCTTCTTAGGAGCGGGCTCGGCAGCCTTGGGAGCAGGGGCATCCGTAGCGGTGGTGGGCTTGTCCTGAACTCCAGAAACTTCCTTTTCACCCTCGCCGTCGTAGAGGCTGGCCATAGAGATCTTGGGCGGGATCGCCTCCTTGCCCTGGAGCCACTCTCCAGCGCTCATAGCAGGAGTAAGACCGATAGTAGGGGGATAGATATCGTCCTGGAAGGTCTCGGACTTGCGAGGAACGATGAACGAGATTGGCTGAATATAAGTGTCGTCAACAGTCTTGTAAGCACGGGTCAACTCAGTGTCGTGCATGTTCACACCCCGCTTGGGCATGAATGCAATTCCACGCTGAGGGTCAGAGGACTTGTACTCGTCAAGGGGCTCGAACTTGTCGTTCTCGAGCTCGAAGTAGCGGATGTTTCCGTCACCACGGCCAGCCAGGTAAAGACAGTTGGTGCTGTCGTCCCAGAAGGGCATGTTGACACCGGAGTTCTTGTCCAGAGTGATGAAACCAGTGATGGGTTCCTGCATGGCGCGAATATCCCACAAGGCCAGCTGGCGGTCACTGAATCTGGAGAAACCGGTGGTTGCGATCTGATCACGCTCGCCGAGCCAAATAGCACGGCTGTTCTTGGCTCCGACATGACCCTTAGTCTCGGAGACGGCAGTCGCCTGGCGGGGATCCCAGATCTTGAGCTTATTGTCGTCCTTCTTATCAGCACGAACAGTAGTCACCAGTCGGGCACCGTTCGCACTCCATGATTGCGACTGAACAACGTTGCCCGCGTTGAAGGTGTGCGTCTCTTTTTCGATTCCGATATCCCAGATCTTCACGGTGTCGGACGAGGTCGTTGCCAGCACGTCCTCGGCGGCGGGGTTGAACAGCACGTGGCCGACCTTCCTGCAAGGTTATTAGTGTTGCGCCCTCGCGTCGCATCGCGCAGGATGGTTGTAGATCCTCACTTAGACTGGCTGCTCAGCTTGCTAATAGGCTTCAAGCTTTCTTCAATGCTGTCGAGAGCCTCGGGATCGGGGCGGACGGTGTGGTTCTCGGGGACTTTCCAGAGGAGGACCTGAGAAATGATCAGCGGCGATCCGATGGGGGGTTGTTTTCTCGCGCCCAAGAGCTTACCTTTCCGTCATCCGAACCCGAAGCAATAATATCATCATGGAAAGGGTTCCTGGAGGGACGCTTGTAAGCTTGCGATGTATGTGTCTTCCTTCTTTATTTCCCTTACCAGTCGGTGTCGAGGACGGCGGCGGTGTGGCCACGGAACAAAGGAATGCGCTCTGGGAGTTTGCCGGTTTCGTTGAGGGGGATGACAGCAAAGGCACCACCACCGCTGGCTTGCCAATTGAGCGAGAGGTATTTGGGGTTAACCTATATCGGAGAACCGTTAGATCGACAATGGGGCGAAACGTCAGGGGGCGGTGCGGGTGGCACGAGGGACGGACCTTGATTAGGTTGGTATCCCAGGCATTGTTGGAGATACGGAGGTTATCGTAACATTGGTCCTGGAGGTCGCAATGGGTGTCAGATTTGGTCATAAGTCATACGACAGGGAGATACAAGGGGGGTAGGTATAGAGGAGGGATCATAGTACCTTTTTCGTCGGACGCCCGTAGACGTGGCCTTGCCAGACACCAGCACGGTCAGCGTGATGTTATGAAAAGAAGATGCGGGACACCAAATGATACTCACGATACTTGGAGGCACGTACAAAACGCCCGGACATTTTGAGTACCGACGGTCAGACGGAGAGATATGGAAAAGAAGAGAGAGCTCGGAGAGGAGGAGGTAGAATGGAGAAGACCCAGCTGTCCACCAGCAACGAGGGAATGCGGGAACTGGGGCGCTTTGGGTGTTTCAGCGGGCCGAGTGGAGTCCGCGCTGCGTCGGCGGCGACTGGAGGGAGAGTGGCGATTGGTCGCAATTGAGTTTTGGCAACGTGACAATAGAGGGAGGTGAAAAAAGAGAGTAAAGAAACAGGAGCAAGATATGGAATGGGATGAGAAGAAGAGAATGCTTGACAAAGATAAATAACAATCAGCAAGTTGTGTTGTGTTGTTCAGGCAGTGCTTGCCTCGAGGGTGACTGGGTCACGTGGCCTGCAACTGCCCGAGAATGATGCTCATCACGTGATACATTACATAACCACGGCGGGTCCCGACGCTAGTCCCCGATCAGGACTAGCCTCGCTGAGTCATCGTTTGTTTACGGCGTCGCTGGGGAAATCAGCCAAACCAGCCAAACCCGCCCCGACCAGCCAAACAGCTTGCATCGCATCGCATTCGCATCGACAATCCCGCTTCCCCTCATTTTCACTCCCCTTAAAGAGATCGTGGCAGGTCGAGAATTCTCTCTTCTCGCCCGGATCATTTACTCCCCGGTGTCCTGGCGATCCCCTTCTACAGCAACCATGGATGATGAGAATCTGGTATGTTGCGACTGTGCTTGCGCCAGTACCCCCTCACGTCGTCGCATGATTGACATCGAAACCAACATGAACATCAACATCGGAATAATTACTCACTCTGTCATAGTCTCACCCCGGGGCCTCAACTCGGTCGCGTCTCCCTCAACCTGGTCTGCGCGAAATGACCTCTGCCACAACCAATTCGCGATCCGGCATCCTGCCGCCTGGAAGCATTGCCAACAAAGTCACCAGCGTCTCTCGTATGAACTGAACCGAAATCAAATGCCCTCCTTACAGAGACGTATTTTGATGACTGACCATAATTGCTAGCAACTCGATCCAATGCCCCGAACCCTACGGATACCAAGCGCTCCGGATCAACCATGCGACAGCCCACCAGCCCGACCAAGGCCCACGCCCGCGGAAGCTCCTACGCCTCATCGACCATGTCCCGAAGCAATTCAACAGCGACCCGCTCGATCAAGGGTGGCTTCTCATCTACTGTCGGTGCTGGTAGCATGCGACCGGCCTCCTCAATGGCACGTCCAGCTTCTTCGATCGGTACCCGCAAACTGAACAGCTCATCGATCTCTCGCCCCGCCACTTCAATGGATACCCGTATGGACGATGCCACAGGAAGTGTCCTAGGAAAAAGAAAGGGTATGCAGTTTTCCTCTTTCCCTCGTCGTGTTTTTTCCTTCCCCAATGGATCCCGTGGAGGGCTCAGCTCGAATGGCCCCCGAGCAAAGACACAACATCATCAACTGCCGAAACCCAGATCCCTAGCTTGACCACCCAACTTGCGTCTGTTTCCCTTGCGGATAGTGGTGTCCCAGATGTTGTGCCATGCCCACTGTTCAAGCAACCCCCCCATGGATCACACCCCCTTCACCCCAATGAGACCTGGTAAGGCGTCGCGTATTTTCCCCGCGACGCCATCCCAGCCCCAGCGGACTCCCTTTGTGCCCTTTCATAGCAGCACTCGCAAGCAGCCCACCCCCCTCTTCCTCACCAAAAATTCTTCTGTTCAGGTTTTTAACAGCCGTATAGATACCCAGTGGGACCACGAGCTCAGAGAAAAGCAAATGAACGACATGTTTGAAACCTTCATGTCACGGATGAACCAGCAAGGCCACAATAGTGCCGGCCTCAAGGAATCGGTCGACTTCTACAAGACTCGAAGTGAGTTGACACGTAGCGCCCAATGTGGTGACTGTTCTAACGACTGCTTTTAGTTGACGAGCTTGAGAAAACCCGTGACGCCATCACAGAAAGCAATACAAACTTGCGAGTGGAGATGGAGGTCTTGAAAACTCAATTAATAACTGCCGAGAACTCATTGAAGGCTGTTCAGCGAGACCAGGAGATCGCCATAGACGATCTTGAAATGCGCCAGCGCATTGAGATGGAATCCATTCGACAGGACAGCAAGAAGGATGCAGAAGCTCTGAGCGCCCGTCATCAAATTGAAATGCAAGAACTTCGACGGCAACTGGAGAATGAGATCGAAGATGAGAAGGCAGCCCGCGTTCGCGAGCTCGGGAAAATGACCTCGAAAAACGCCTCCGCGCTGCAAGAATCTGAAATGGAACTCAGAAGCAAACTCCGCGAAATCGACTCGGTCAGCAGCTTGTTGGAGAGCACGAAAGCCGAATTGGACCGCGAGCGAAAGCACACCAACGATCTTCGCCAGAATTTAGACACAGTCAGTAGCAACAGTGTCACTTTGGAGTCTACGATCCGAGCCCTCAAGGCCCGAATTGAGTTCCTAGAGGGCGGCAGGGAGGAACAATCTGAAGCGTTTGAGCGATGCAATCAAGATATGATGGACGCTCTAGCCGAAACCGACGCAGTCAAGGAGAAGCTGCGCAGAGAGGAGACACTCCGTCGAAAGCTTCACAATCAGGTCCAGGAACTGAAGGGAAACATCCGTGTCTTCTGCCGTGTCCGTCCCTCTTTGAATAGCGAGCCTGCCTCTCACATCGCTGCTATGCAATACCCCGATGAAACCGAGGACGCCAAGGAGATCAACATCATGGGCCTTGAAGAGAAAAGCAGTCTTGGGACTGTCTCACGCAAGAATAACAACTTCTCCTTCGACCGCGTCTTTGGCCCCCGCACGCAGAATGGAGAGGTCTTCGATGAGATCAGCCAGCTTGTCCAGAGTGCTCTTGATGGCTACAATGTCTGCATTTTCTGCTATGGTCAGACTGGCAGTGGTAAGACACATACCATGTCTTCTCAGGATGGTATGATCCCTCGCGCTGTTCACCAAATATACGAGACCGCTCAAGGTCTGGAGGAGAAGGGCTGGCGCTATACAATGGCTGGAAACTTCGTGGAGGTGTACAATGAAAACTTGAATGATTTACTCGGCAACCCCGATGAGTTGGATAAGAAGAAGCATGAAATTCGCCACGACATGCAGCGTGGCAAGACAATAATTACGGATATCACCACGGTGCAATTGGATTCGCCCGAAATGGTGGAGTCGATTCTCAAGAACGCAGATGCCAATCGCTCTGTGGCAGCGACAAAGGCGAACGAGCGATCCTCGCGATCTCACTCCGTCTTTATTCTCAAACTCATTGGAGAGAACCACATAACCGGCGAGCGCAGCGAGGGTACCCTCAACCTGGTCGATCTCGCTGGTAGCGAGCGCCTGAGCCATAGTGGGGCCACAGGTGAACGTCTCAAGGAGACTCAGAACATTAATCGCAGTCTCAGCTCGTTGGGTGATGTGATTGCTGCTCTTGGCCAAGGCAAGGATGGTGGTCACATACCATACCGGAACAGCAAGGTAATTTCCCCTACCATTATGGTCCTTGACCTCTATTCGTCCCAACATTCTAACTTTATACAGCTTACCTACTTGCTCCAATTTTCTCTCGGCGGCAACTCGAAAACCCTCATGTTTGTCATGGTCAGCCCGCTGCAGGCACACATGTCGGAGACGTTGACCAGCTTGAAGTTCGCAACGAAGGTGCACAATACTCATATCGGCACAGCAAAGCGACAGGCGCGTGTTCGCGACACTTGAATATTATGATACCTCTCCCCGTTTTGCATATAGTCCGCGTTTCCTTTGTGTCTTTATGTCTTTTTATGGGTGGGGGTCTTTTACGACCCTGTCCCCCACCTTGGCGTTGGGGTTGATTGATAATGACTATTTTTTACGGGTCGGGGATGTATGTCTCTGGCTTGATGTCGTATTTAGAGCAATGCACAGTACGATGTTTCTGATACTTTCAAGTTTCGCAAATATTTCCATTCTATACTACAAGTCTCTCCATGAAAGTAAATCACAACAGCCAAAATCCATTCCCCACTCGTCAATAATAAACAGCTTTTGGGACGCCAACTTAGGCCATAACAACGCAGATGTCGTGACGCAGCCTATCAACAACTGTTGAAATAGATGTCCTGTTGATGATTTTGCTTGAAAATTCTGTCTTATCTATTTCGACTTCATTTTCGTCTTGTCAAGCGCATTCTGACACCTCCTGTCGTACCTACATTATAAATTCCGTCCATGATCAAAGTCATCTTTGGAATGCTATTTCTCAAGAGTTCATCCAATCTTTGTTCAACATCCCTCGAGTTCTCTCCTGTGAGCGGGACAGCATCTATGCGGTGTTGTTGGAGCAATTTTAGCATGACGGCAACGAACTCGACCTGGCCCATCTTCTGCCCTGGACAGATACGCGGACCTTGACCCCAGGGAAGGAAGCACCCCTTTGGAGGTTGATATATGCGACGTGGAGACCCGACAGGATTGATCCAGCGAGAAGGCCGGAAAATGGTCTCATCGGGAATTCCTTCATCATTCGAATTGACCCATGATGGATCGGAGCCGCGGTTGATGTTGGGCCACACTTCAGGATCAAGATGTAGTGCAATATGATTGATAATCACAGACGAGTTGGCCGGAAGTGCAATTATGCCTTTGCTTGTCCTTATCTCTTGAATCGTATCGTTTGTTCTGAGAACATGAACGACAGGTGTGTACAGACGCAGTGTCTCTAGCATGACTGACATAAGACGCGATGCCTGCGGAAAAACAGCAGAATACTCCGGAGTCTCTGACGCGTCTGTGGTAAGCAGGGCATCAACCTCTTCGAAAAGCCACTCTTGCCATCTAGGATACCTAGCAAGCAAAACTATGGCATATGAGAGAGTATTCGCTGTCGTTTCAAAACCAGCTGCTGTAAAAAGAAAGAGGTTGCCGTTTAACTCATCCTTGCTGAGGGATGTTAACTCGCTCGTTTGTTCATCTGACGCTTGCAGGAGATGGCTCATGATGTTGCTTTTTTCTGAAGCTGCATCCTTGCCTGACATACGTTGACGTTCTTGATCAAGCAGGATTTCAGTGTGCATCGGGAACTCGCGCTTAGCAATTCCTAGTTGTTTCATAAATGTATGTCCAGGTATCCAGGATGGCCAGTTCAAAAGTATACCCGTTGGGATAACTATCGGACCAGTAACAGATTCCATGACAATCTTGCAAGCTTCGATATATGTCATTTTGAATCCCGATTCGGACTTCTTGTCATCTTTTCCATTCCATGGTGTCTTTGCACCCATGCCAGCCTCACTGAGAACATGGATTGTAATTCGTTTGATCATATCAAACATTTTTGTCGTTTCAATATAGCGCCTTTCAACTTCAGTTTCAGTAGAAGAAACCTGAAGCTCATCTAACATCCCCGTAGTCTGACATATCGCTGCATCAAAGATAGTCCTGGAGATACGTTCGTTGATCACACTGGCCACAACTTTACGCTGCTTCGCCCATCTTTGCCCATTCGTCGTAAGAACATTATGACCAAATTGCCCTAGCAGAACCCCAACAAGCGGCGGCATCTTAAAATCATCTGTTCGTCGCAGGACATCTGTGGCGACGATCGGATCGGCGGTCCAGAGCTCTAAGGGCCCACAACTGGCGACCAAAAACGACTTTGGGTTTCCTTGAGGGGCTGCATATTCATCGAAGGGGTGGCGCTTCTCATAAAAATCCCAGCCATAAATCGTCAGCGTAAGACGATTCCATATCCGGGTTGGGAGAATGCTCCTCAGCCACGGCCGTAAAGGGACGGTCGTCAATAGCCAGATTATGTTACTTGGATCAATCGGGTATATCAAGAAAGGCAGCCCGGTGGCCTTAGCGGCGCTGACATTGCGAGCTAGCCGCCAGGCGTAGTTCGTGATGAAAAATAGTAACAACGCGCTGACGATTGCGAAGCTGAATTCCATTTTCTCACTTATCCAGGTGCAGATATCAGGTCAGCGTGCCAGCGTGAATGGCGTAGAAAATAGTCCACATGCTCTCTAGGGTTCTCTTAAACGAATGATAGACGAATGATAGGAATTATAGCCGATACGCAATCATCAGTTAGTAAATCGAAAGAAACTCCTACTGTCTCGGCGTTACATCCTTGGAAGTAAATTTTATGGCCCCACTCTTCCTACGTTTTGAATACACAGAGCTGTAAGCACCGTACTGCGCTTGTGGAAATATAGCCATACGTACTGATCGGAAGAAATGATGCGGAAAGGGCTGTATTGAAGCCTGTATGTGTACTTAACATGGAATGATTACAGGATCTATACCCAGACCTAAGTTAGGTAAAAGAATGTACCCAAATCCAAGAAAGACAGAAAACACAATAAAATACACCATCGTGATGTTTAGCTTATACTAGTACGGTCACTATCAACTTGAAGATATAGCAAAACACTACTAGTCAGCCTTGGCTCACTAAATTCCGCGGGTAAGCGTACCCAAGTGGAGCTACCTTGCAGGTACTGTGACCTGGGTACTCCGTACAAATGGCCAGGCCTACGGAGTACTAAGAGTACAATACATGTGAAAGTGAACCTGATCTCTTTAAGGGCCTTTCATGCAGGTCAGATCTGAGGTGACCCGGCCCACAGCTTGATGCGGCTAGTGGGGCCGCAAGCCTTCTTTATCTCCGATGTAACCAACAATAAGGGGCCAAGGCCACCATGAATTGCTGGCCAATAAATGATGTTGGATTGTGACGGGCTAGGCTTCAGGCAGTGTCTGCTTACGACCAGTAGAGTAAAAATATGACAAAACATTGTTCGTCTTGAGACCTTTTCTTGTCGCCAAGTATGGAGCACTCTATCGACCATGCTGAGATTTCTGCAAGCATGTGATGCAGGAGTCTTTGGAAAAGACTAGTAAACTCGGTTTCTGGGTATTTTTTGTTTTCTTTCTTTGGATTACCGAAGCTTCGTATGTGAATGTTTTGTCATTCCTCAATCTATAGATGATCATGATGCCTGAAACCCCGGCTTTGATACATCATAACGAGCTCAACAGACCTTCATTATAAATACTGCAATTTTTACCAGCCTGGTTTCACATTATCAAATACCAGCTGTATACCTTGAATTTCCTCTCGGCGCTTTAGAATAACAGTAGGGTCGTGGCTTAGAGCCGGCAACCCCAACATGGTATCTTTTCGCGCGGGTACTACTCCCCACCCGAGTGGCTCCCCAGGCGTGGGCGTAAATTCAAAGGCTAGGAGAGATTTCGCCAAAAGTCCAACGGTCAAGTTAAGAGCAAGGTATCTTCCGGGACACTGGTGCATACCGGGCAGACCAAAAACGTTGAGATGTTTGACCAGCTCTTGGTTGATCTCCCCGTCCTTCTGGAGAAATCGGCTGGGTCGGAATAATTCAACGTCTTCGCCCCATATATCCCTGTCGAAGTTATGCAGATGGATTGGAGTCATAAGAATTGATCCTTTCTCAAGTTGATATTTATTGTCAAAAAGACTGTTCTCATGCACCCCGCGCGCGACCGGAGCATCTCCGTACGTGCGTAGAAGCTCGTACCAGGTTGCCACTAGAAGTGGACAGGATCGCCGGAGATGGTCAACTTCGATGCTTATGCTTGAGGACGGATCATCGACAACGGCTTCAATTTCAGTGAGAAGGGACGTCAAAAGGTCTGGATTGGCCAGGACTTCACACATTGCCCATATCATGATGTTAATGACATTTGACATCAGCCCGACGATGGCTGTCAGATGACAGTCAGTAAATCCCTCGCGAGGAATCTCAAGGGTCTCATAGAGAGAAGCGAGCTGCGCAAAGAGTGTTACTCCCTGCTTCTCTTGCTTTCCGTAACTCTCATTTTCGGTACTTTGGCTAATCTTCTCACGAACAGATTTCCGTGCTGAACGAATCTCAGACGGGACCAGCCATGGTATCGGATTGCGCAGACTCTCTAAATTTTGAATAAAGATCCTGCGTGTAGAAAGGCATTTAGCAGTTTGAAACCGATTCGAGAAGTTTGACGAGCAAGTTGTGCGTACCTCAGATTATCACGGAATTCTTTCTCTTCGAAGGGCCCTTCTTCGCCCCAAAATACACCGCCCATCGAGCGAGAAAGGAAATCAAAGGTCCAAGATCCAAGGCAAACTTCTGTTACTGAACCATGTTTTGGAGCCGCCTCATCCCAATATCTATCAATAATCGCATCCATTTGGCCTGCATATTTTCGAAGGTTGTCCAGTTTCCTGAGCTCGCCGTTGAACAACTTCGACAAACCTCGCTTGAAGTCGCCAGTATCAGGATCGGTGAGGACTTTCTCACTTGCAGGTAGAAGACCCATTGAAGGGCCAACGGCGACACGGAAAACAGTCATTAAGCTCAGGTGACGCATACTCGTGAATTGTTTCATGCTAGCCGAATCTAGCGGGTGAACCAAATGCATGTCCATTCCAGGGAGTTTCAAAGTTTTGATTGGCGAGTTTTGGGTCGAACTGTGAAGACATTGTGTAAATAGCAGACTTTTTTTAACAGAGGGAAAGGTCGGTACGTACCATAGTGACGAAAGGTAGGGATTTGAACCTTTGGTTGCGATTCCATAAACATGACTTGCGAAGGGAATCCAGGAGGGGAAGATAGGTGGGGTGGAATAAGCAGCCTCTTTCGTCTTTGACGATAGCCTGCGACTAATTGCAGCATACAAAAGCCATGCAAATAGCAAAGCCAAGAAAAGAGTTT